TGCCAAGGCGTTCCTTTATTATCATTCCAGAAATGAAAAAAAGGAAAATCATCCCTCCTTTGCTTATTGGAGTTTTTTCCTCCTGTGGTTGCGTTTTAATCTCTTTTTTATTGGTCATGTACAACCTTGGCACTTTGCTCACGGCAGTGGCAGCCGGCAGCGGGAGCAGCAGGGCTCATGGTGTGTGTGTGTGGGGAGGGTCTTTGGGTTCCAGCCTTCATGCGTTTGGACCGTTACCTGTAACATTATGATAATAATTGCCTGCCCTTCCTCAAAGCCTTTTGCCTTCAGATCCCCATGTATCTTGTAAACATTAAGTAACCCATCTTGAAACACCGGTCAGAGAAGTCACACTAGCTAGGTTTACAGTGAAGCCTACCAGGAAGAGCCCTCTCAGAAGTCCTTCTCTGCCACCAGCCAGAAGCCCGTTCTGTGTGGAAGAAGAGCAATACTAGGGCCCTGTGCTAGATCCGTTCGCCCACGCTGGGCTCAGCTACGAGTGAGCAGCTCCTGCGCCCAGCTTGTTCTGTCCACATCACACGTCACCGGTCGGACACTGGATTTCAGCTTGCTCCTTCTCCCTGCTTCCACCGCCCCGGCATGCTGTTTATTCATATTGTACTTTTCTGTTCCCCCGTCCCTTGGCAAGGGGCACTGGGGGCGTAGTGGTGACCGGCTGGGCTGCTAACCACCAGGTGAGCAATTGGAAATCACCAGCTACTCCAGGGGAGAAAGACAAGGCTTTTTACCCCGGTCAAGAGTTACAGACTCCGAAACCCACCAGGGGCAGTTCTACCCTGTCCCGTAGGGTCACTGTAAGTCGACGTCAGCTCAGTGGCTGTGAGTCTGGTCGGGTGCAGTGTGAGGCCTTCAAGGGAAAGACTTGTTCATAGAGATGTGTCTAGTACATAGTACTTAGGAATGGGCGGAGTCCCTTGGTGGCTCAGATGATTAAGCACTTGACACCGACCGGAATGGTTGGTGGATGGCACCCTCTGGGGCGCTTCAGCATCTAAGTTTGGCACTCTCTTTCCAAAAGGTCACAGCCGAGGTGACGGGACAGGGCCGTTCTGTGGGTAATCACCCATTCATGGCACCGTTCCGTTCCAGTGACACACCATACCTTGCCTGTGCCATGAGTTCCACACGGCATTCCCTCTGTTGTTTTGAGGGTTCGTTATATGGCCTTTTATGATCAGTGTCTTACCAAATCCAATCTTTCTCTGGAACTCGAAACACCGCGCAGCAACTTACGGCACTGATACCGTCAGCGAACGGCACCCTGCGATGTTGTGTGTAGCACATACGAGGGAAGACAAACAAAACAAACAACAGTGGGCAACGCTAAGTGTGCTCTACCAGGACTCAGCCCTGTTCGGAGATGGGGACTGCTTGTCCTGACAGGTGGCGTCCCTACGGGTCAGAACCGACCCGACAGCAACCCGCATCTACGAAGACAAAGGTTCTCCATCAGGAAGGCCACCGCCCCAACTCCCCGCAGAAGTTCAACATGTGGACACGGGGAGGCCCCGAAGGGCCCTTTGTCATCTTCCTTTGTTTTGTTTTTTTATTAAGAGGCGATAGTATGAAAGACAAGGGGCGAGAAGAGCACAATAGTGAGCTAGGTAAGTGTGTCCCGTGCCACTCACAGGCCTGGTCTGATCCACACTAAGAAGTCCTTATCCCTGTCGCTAAGCCCTGGCTTAGATGGCTCCCACCGCCGGCGGTGCGGTGCACAGGAGTGGGGCTGCACAGTTTGCTGCTCCTTACCCCTCCTTTCTAACCGCCCAGGGCTTGCCCGCCTTCAGACATGGAGCTGCAGCTATGCCCGCCCGCTTTCTGGGGCTGAGTCGGCCCTGCCCATGCAGCCCTGCCGTAGAAGCCCACCCAGGGCCAC